ACAGCGCGAGAGATCCAGGGAGTGGAAGGTAAAGAACCAGTTAACGTGAGACAGGGAAACGCTTCTACAAAAGGCTGTGGTCATAATCACACTTCTCGTTTCACACCAAGTTATTCATGGTAAAAACTGCAGGATGTAACTTACGCTACTTAATTCCTCTTTTCTCTTTCAAAACCAGTGAGTAAGAGCTTAAACACATCACCCTCTGGGAACAATTTCAAATGATCTTAGAGTCCAAAATCGGAGTCTCTCTAAATCTTTTATAGAAGTGCCTAACTAATTCCTCTTACAGACATAATTTGACAGAGTAAAACACCGTTTCTCCAGCCTGAGTAAATTTCACTGCCAAGTCTTTTGGTGCCAAACTCGTTTATATCAATGCAAACTCAGTATTTCCCCCGTACTGGAAGAGTACTTGCAATCAGAAATCCTATTAGAGCTGATAACGCAGATTTTTATCACTAAGATGACTGATCATTCTAGACTCTTGGTTAATTTATCAGATTCAGTACGGAGAATTGAAGTCAATCTCTTAAACAATTTGATTTAAAAAAAAAAATCAACTCCCTAAAATCTAAGTAAAAAATTAGTTGAATGCAATGAGTAAGTTGATCTAACAACGGCCTCCGTTCTCTTAGTCTGGTCTACTTGCTACGACAGCAGAAACTTTCAGATACCAGCTCACGTCAAAATATTTTACAGCCTAATTGCCTATCATCTTGTTCTCTTACATACTGACATCTATCAGTGCTGAAGGAAATTAGATTTTTCTGTCATCACAGATTCTTATTTTTCCAAACAAATCCTTTCCATTCGGTCAGGGTAACTGTATGTTGCAATTTGCAGTTACAACCTGATCGTGTATTCTCTTTTGCGAAACATTTGCTGACACACCTGTAAAATCCTCAGGGGATTTTGGGCACGGAGGGGGTCTGATTACCAGACTAGAAGACGCGATACGCTGCTACAGCCCGGTGCCAAGCACACTCACCTGCTGGGGCGAGCCGGGCGATGGCTCCCTTCCAGTGGGTGCTCTGACGGTGCGTCCTGGCAGCCCTGTGCTGCTCGGCGTGAGCGTCCCGGCAGCCGCAGGCGCTACGGACGGCGAGGAAGAACGGTGAGGAAGGGCTGGGAGCAATGCAGCATGGATGACAGATCTACCTGGATGCCGATGCTGCCAACACCGTACACGATCGTAGGCTGTTCTGTGCGAACACACGACACCAAACGCACGTGTCCAGTTTAATGCCAGCAGCCATCTGCGCCCAGGCAATTCAAAGAGCAAGCTTCCACGAACTGTACAGTTCCAGGCCAAAGGGCACAAGAGAATCAGGCTCGGTAATGCACTCACATTCATGAATCAGCCAGCAATTACCGACTGCCATTGATTTCCAGCAGTGTACTGTGTCCTGGCAACAAAGCATGAACTTATTATGCTGCTTTGTTAACAGGTTTAATCTCCTACAGCAAGGGGATCACCCCTGTGGGCGCTGCCTCTTGTGGACTGTGCTGCAAAATAAAACATGAGTGTAACGCCATGTTTACCAGTTTGGAGACACCAGCTCACCAGCTACCGCGTGCTGCTCGCACTCTTTAAACACGCTACAGCAAAACCTTCTGGCATAGCTAAAACTTCCAATTGCCTAACAGCTGGGGGGACAACGGGCTGCTCAACTTCATTGAATTCAAAAATATACGTGAAAAACATTAAGAATTGTTCAGAACGGTACAGGCAGGCTGAGCCACCCAAGGAAAGCAAAGACACTCCTCTTCAGGTTTTAAAAACATCGATGGGTAACCTGGCAAACCGGAGCAAATTAAAACCAATACACGATGGGTGTGTGCACAGAGAGAAAAAAAAAGTGGGCAAATTCCACAGCACTGAGTGACACCGGCTGCTCGCATGACTCTTGTTTCTCCTCCTTTCCAGCCCCTTTGGCACACATTGCTAACTGCTGTGAAAACGGAAAGAGCTGTTTGCCTTCTGCACATACCAAGGAACCCGGTGTTTTCACCTTCAGAATAACGAGGGTTAGGGAATGGAGCCAACCGTGGTCATTTTTTCCCAGCTCCTCTTTTTATTACACTTTATTTAATCTCCAGTACTTCCAATGGACTGTAAATCGCTTTTGCCACTGCTGACATGCTTCGCGCTGGCACTGAGTTCACTGGACTTTCCTCGGCTGCGTTCATGCAACGCAGAAGACTGTTGGAGGTTTCTAAAAGGCCAGTGATGTCCCGGGCTGGTGGTGGGATTTTTGTAATCTATATAAAATTGTGTTTAAAATCTCGGTGATTGTACAGTGCACAGCTAAAGGGAGGGAGCTTGCGAAAGGACCATGAAAATAGGGTGAGCAGACCAACCCTTCCAACTAACTAGAATCCCTGCTGAGTCACGACCCTGCAAGTACGGCGCCTCCCAACTAAATGCTCTATTTCTACACAAAGCCCTATTTCAGTGACAGTTACAGACTGGCGCTGAAACCCCAAGCTATGAATGGAAAGGAAGGCTGAGAAGCCAACATTGCGTACTGTGGACTTTGCGATCTTTCTAAAAGACTCCCTTGTAAAACTAGGGAAGTTTGACTAACCGTGACACCAAACACGGCGCTGCACCCAGCCACCCCGCCCCGTGCGGGCAGCTCGGAGGCAGAGCAGCCCAGGCCACACGCACCTCGGCCTCCCTCGGCAAGGCCACTCCCGCCAACAGCCTGGCATGCTAGGCTTCCGCACTTATTTTTCTTGTCCCCGACTAAAAATCTTGGATTTGTATCTCTCCGCAAACTCTTTTATCTTAGGCTTAGCAAAACAAACCCCGGCAGCAGTGAACTACTCTGACCCTTTGCTCAATTAATGATTATATTGCAACCTGGCCCCATTCCACCAGGCTGAGGTAACCTCATGCCCCGCGCACCCTCTGCGCCGATCAG